CCTCCAGGCTCTTGCTCAGGTCAGGTCTCACCCCCCGCCCCCCCACTGCATCCCAGCTTCTGGCCCTCTTTGGGGCTTGGCTGAAATGCCACCTGGCCCATGGCTCACAGGCTGCACCTCCTAGTTGGGACCCATGCCTCTCTGTACCTGGAGGCTCTATGTCCCTGACTGCTGTCCCGCCAGACCAGTCCACGTAGCACCGTGCAGGGGGAGCTCAAGTCAAGGCTAGCCCTTGTGTCTGGGAGAAGGTGCCACTTCCCCTCTGCCCAGCCCACCTCCACCAGCCCCTTCCCAGTGCCCTCCTGGGAAAGAGCTGCCGACTGGTCAGTCGCTGGCTGGGCTGAGTGGCAACATCCAGTTTGGATCTCTGTTGTTCTTGTTCTTGCTGTTTCCTGCTCCTTCAGGGTGCACAGGCCTGGGCACATACTGGCAGCCACCTCTCTCCTCTCTCCTTCTGGCTCAGGGACAGCTGGGGGGAGGGCAGACCAGCCCCTGACACAGGTCTGCTCACTGTACCTCTTTCCCCAGGCTGACTCATGTTGGCAGAGGTCTCGAGTGGAACTGGGTCCCTTCCTCTGAGGTTCCTTCGATTTCTGACCCACCAGCCGCCCCTCCCAGAGGCAGACAATTGGCAGGACTTGGGCACATCTAGATCCTAGCTCATCTTGTCAAAAATGGCACCAAACCCGTCTCGGTTCCAATTACCTCTAATATGGAATCCCGACACCGTGTCTACATCTGTAATTGTTACCGGAGGGCTCTCTGTCACTGCCACGCCGGATGGCAATTCTGAGTTCTGAGATGCCCCTCGGTAAATTCAGACGGCCTTAAGCAGCATCTCTGGGCGGGTGGGGCCAGCACCATAGACAAGTCTGGGCTCCATTTTGCTCTTGCTGGTCCCCACTCCTGCTAATGTCTCTTCCCACTCAGCCCTCGCACCTCCCCTCGGCTTTCACAGCTTTCACGGCTTTCACGACTCTTGGGGACCGTTGAGCCAGGGGCCCAAGTGAAGGCCCTGTCTCCTCGCCCTCCCCACCACCTAGACAGCAGGGCCTGAGCTCTTCGGAGAACCCCTGGCACGAGCACGGGGCCCTGCCTCGGAAGGTGTGCAGGCGTGCAGGTGTGCAAGGGAACATGCCCCAGCAAGGATCCCTGCTGAGAATAAAGGAAAAGCAGGGATAAGGCTCCCTCAGAGGGAGTGGGGGTGCCATTGAGGACATGAGAACCTACAGGAAGGCCAATGGCCAGGACTCAGCCAGGACGGTGAGACTCATGAAACCCAAGCAACAGGGCTGCCCAGAGCTTTCGGGAATGTCACTGCATGATGGAGGGAAGGGAAGAGGAGGAGGGGGGAGTCAAGGCTGGAACCCGGGTTTCTGGCTCTCCAGCACCCCTGGGAAAAGAGGCCCACCTGGCAGGAGCCCTGCCCTATGGTCGTGTTCGGGTTCTGTGCCTGTAGGTGTTGGGGTAGCCAGCGCCAATCCCTGGCAGCTCTGAGCTTTGATGGCTGGACGCATCAGGGTCAGGTGATCTGAGGACATGAGAGTCCCAAGCATGACCCATTTGGGACAGCCTAGCACTGCTTGGGGTAGGCACAAAGATGACCTGGGGCCCAGGGGAGGGTCATCTGCAGAGGCTTGGCCAGTCTGGGGTGGATGGCAACTCCCACACCCCAAGCACCTAATCCGGATCCAGTGGAGAGCTGACCCGGAAGGAACCAGGTCAGGTGAGGTCGTAAGAGTGGGGAATTATATTGATTTAACTATAAAAGAAGCACAGATACAAAGGCTCCTATCAAGCAGCTTGATTCCCACAGAATAGTGGGTGGTCTGCCCGAGCACGTCTTGCTTCTGAAGTCACGGGTGTGGGAGGGGCAGGGGAGGAGAGTACCTTGGGGCAGTGTCCCAAACCTAACTCTGACCTTGGACATGCTGACTGGGTGGCGGACTGTGGGGCCTTTGTGTGGCTGCACCACTTGGGTGTCTTGGGCTGGACAAGCTTTGGGGGACTCTGTCTGTCACAGGGCAGGAAGAAGGAGAGGCTCAGAGAGGCCCAGGGGTGTCAATCTCCCTGCTCAGCCTCAGGAGGACAGCAGAGACTCGGGCGGAGTGGGATGGAGGCCAGAGCCTGCTGAGTGGGGAGAGTCTGGTGGACTCTGTGCCTCTGAAAATCTCTTCAGAGAAGGGAGGGGAAGAAATCAAGTCTTGGTTTAGGTATCCAGTGGGACAGGCAAAGAAGAGTTCTGCGGAGATGCTGGGGTGATGCAGGGTCCCTGCCTAATGAGGGTTGGTCCTGTGTGAGCCCCCCAACCCCCCGTATGTTCTCTACCCAGCTTTGGGCATTGGACTGTGACTGCCCTGCACAACCCAAGCTGATTAATGGGGTGCGCTGGCAGGAAGGGTGGAGAGGACAGGGTTAGGGTATTCTCACCCCTCGCCACGGTCGCAGCTCCCACTGGGGGGACCCCATCTGCACTTCTGCTCTCCCCAGGCTGGACAACATCCTTCCCTGCCCCCCACCCCCAGGGCCCAGTGCCAGTCTCTGGGGCCTCTGTCCCTGTTGTTCCCCTTTACCTGGCCTCCACTGCTCCTGTTAGCTATCCTACCCTCAAACCCTCTCCTCGGGACTACCTGGGGATGAAGGGTGGGGAAGGGTCTATGCTGGGGGTCTAGGGTTCCAAAGGACCAGATGGGAGGTACCATGTGGAAGTGGGCATGGAGATCGGCAAACCCCAGCCTCAACTACAGGGGCTGCTGGTCACCTCTCAGGGCCCCCTAACAGGTATCTTGTAAACCATGACCTCTGTGTGGGCAGAACTTCTGATTTTTTCAATCTTTTTTACAAGAGACCCTCAATTTTTAAGTGTTATTCATTTTACAACATTTTAAAAACACCAGAAGCCAAAGACAATTACTGTGAAGAGTTAGACTTGGCTGGAGGGTGGACAGCTGGTGCTCTGGGCTGGAGAAGGTGAGGCTTGGGGCGGGAGCTCCTGCACCCCTCTGCAGGACACAGGTTTGAGTCCTCTGTAGGCCTGAGAAGCTCCCCAGCCAGGGGCTGAGGTTTTGGAGGGGAGAAACCATTATTTCAGGCAGGTTTGAACCTGCCCTGAGCCTGGTCAGTTTGCTGCTCTGTCCTGAGGGTCCAAGGCTGGGCGATGCCACAGAAAATTTAAGAATAATGGTGCCTGTGGGGTGGGAGCTTGGGAAGGAGCAGGGCTGCACCATTCCTCACTGGGGCTTGCAAGCAGCTGAAAACGGCCCAGACCTCTGCGAGGCCAAGAGCTCACCCTCACACCCAGCCAAGGCCCCTGGGGGTGGATGCAGACAGGTGTGGGGAGGCCTGCAGGTGGACTCTCTTCCAACCACCTCACCTTGTCACAGCTCACTTGTACCTCCTTCTGCTCGGAGGACCCTTCCCTTCCCAGAGGCCGGCCCTCTGCATCATCCTGATTACAGGTCCCTCCAGGTAAAGCTCCAATCCCAGGCCCTATTGCATTCATTCGGCTGCCCTGGCCCATCTTCCCTTAGTCCTCATCCTCATCCATTCTGGGTAAAACCCTCATATTTAGCAGCGTTGGTCCCTCACGCACTGGTGGCCCCGTAAGCAGGGCCGGTGAGCAGTGAACACCCGGCCCACCTGCTACAGTCCCACTTGCTCATCACCTGCAAGGGATCGCCCCTGCCCCTGTCAGGTGTCATGGCATGCGGACTGGATAGATGCCTGCACGAGGCCCCTCCATAGGTCATCGCCTACCTCCACCGTCTCAGGACCTGGAGAGAGTCCCAAGGCCTGGGGTGGGCCTAGGTCCGGTCTGGCACTCAGTAGGTACTCCCTGCACCTTGGTTGCATTAGGAATTCCGACTGGGCTTGAGGAGGAACTAGGCTCGGGAGCCCAGGGATCTCATGGGGAGAATCAAGGGGGAGGCCGGGGTTGGGGTGTCCAGGGCTGGAGTCAGGGTTTCAGGTAGAATCAGTGAGCGCTGGGGTTCCCAGAAGTGGAGTCGGGGTCTCGGGTCAGAGCAGGGGACGCTAGGGTTCCCAGGGGAGGAGTCAGGGTCTTGGGTCGAGACAGGGGGCCCTGGGGTTCCCAGGAGTGGGGCACCGGGGTCCCCAAGGGTGAAGCCGGGATCCGGGACCCAGAGCGCCCTCCCTCGCACGCCCGGC